CTGGATGGGTGACAAAAAAAAATCTTTCTCTCCCCAGGCATGAACCTAGAGGAGAAAAAGTATATTGCAAAGGGAAGGCTCTTACCTGCTATATATCATTGAAATTGATGTGTGTATGGGGAAAAATGATAACATATGACTTGTCTCTGGAATAGGTTTGGGAGCTGGGCATATCTACCCAAGGGCCATTAATATGCAAACCAGATGGAAAACCTCCCATGTAAGAAAGCAGGCTACACTAGAATTTTTGATAAATAACCTAAAATCTTATTGTTAAATCACATGAACAACTTCTGTATTTTAAGAGAACATAAGGTGATGATATCATGTTCCTCTAAAAGTCTACAGAGGCACGCTATGTAGCTCTTTGAATTAGCCAGGAATCTTGCTAAGCAAAGTGTTCAAAATGTCCAAAGAGCCAAGGATGTCTCAATGAAGGCATTTTCTTCAAAGTTATCTTCCTTGATTCATAACCCAAATCCATTTCCCAGATTTAAAGAATCCTAGTGATAATTGTGGAATTGCCACTTACCTGTTTTTAGTGGACTAAAGTGGCCATAGGCAAATTACTTTACTGCCCTGAATTTCAATTTCTTTAACTGTAAAATGGGGATAATACTGAAACCTACCTCACAGGGTTGTTGAAAGCATCCAAGTGCGCTAATACGTATAAATGTCAGTTCTTACTATAATTTTTGTAGGCATTGACAAAGTCATCTATTAACAGCTATTGGTAAGCAACCAAACTTAAAACAATTCTTCAAAATCAATCAATCAACAAGTTTTTCTTAAGCATCTCCTAATATGTACCAGGCACTATGCTAGACTCTGGATATACCATTATAAACATGGGACTACCCCCTGCCTTTAAGGAACTTAAGTCTAACAGTTTTTAGAAATGACTTAATAAAATGACACTCACTTTTAATGTAGATAGTAGGACAGGGAATAGATCTATGACCTCATTGGTGCAGGGAATCCCTTGTGAAAAAATATTCTTTTATCAATGGAGGTCAACACCTCTACAACTTATAGTCTTGGGGATGAAGGGAGGAAGGAAGGAAGGAAGGAAGGAAGGAAGGAAAGAAACAAGCATTTATTAAGCACCTACTACGTTCTGGGAACTGTTCCAAGTACTTTACAGATATTGTCTCCTTTGACCCTCACAACAACCCTGGGAGGTAGGTGCTACTAGAGGATCTCTCAGAGTACTCAGAGATTAAAGGACCTGCCCAGGGTCACACAGTCAGTATGGTTCAAAACAAGAACTCAGGGCAGTTTGCCCTAGCTCCAAGGCCTGCATTCTATCTGCTACACACTGCTACCTCTATAAAATATTGTCCAGAACCCTTCTTTCAGTTTTCCATGGTGCACATTTAACCTAAGAGACACATGATAATAAATCCTTCATTTAAAAAAAATCAGCCATTTTTTAATCATTATTCTAGGAGTAAGGAGTCAATTTATCATCTTTTTTTGTGATTGTATTGTATAGTCACAAAATTAAGTACTAATTTGGACCTAATAATAGATTCCCTAATTAGGACCCTAATTAGAACCAAATCATTAATCCCTTTGAAGTGAATAATGGTATTGGGCTAGCAGATCCTTGATCTTCTTTTTCAGGTCTTAATTTATGATCCTCCCTCAAACCTTTCCATACTCCAAATTCACATTCTCACTGAATATTTCCTTTGGGATAGAACCAACAACCATATTTTATATAATTATAAATTCAAATAGTGACCACTTCACAGTATTCATTATTTGAACTTATCAGGACCTTGCTGAAGGTAACCAACAAGCAGATGTTATGTTGCATGACCCACATGCTCCATTATACTGCCTCACTCATCAATGAAACGTAACTCCATCTTTACAGCACCTCTATTTTCTAACCATTTCCTATCCCATTCACTTCCATTCTGCTTTCTATAGGCATTCCAGGCCATTATAGACTTGACGTAAAATGTAGTCTCCTTTTCTTAAGAATTTTGAAAACCTGTACTTCTATTGTAGCTTTCCAAGTATACAGACCACCTGCAAAGGAGCAAGGTGATTAATGAGTTGTTTCCCTTCATAGCTCACCTAAAGTTTCAGTGCTCACTAGGGGTCAGGAAGAGGAAATTCAGAGATGTCCTTGGGCAAGAACTTGTATGTGCAGTCAGATTTTGTTGAGTCCCTATGTTCTATTTCCAATCAAGGTCCAAAATAGCCCAACCCTTGAATTTTTTTTTAAATCCCTCTTGCAAACTTGAATAGGCTACATAGTCTCACAGCTTGCTTCAGTAACTATGGGCTAGATGATGTGTGCTGATGTGATGATGCTCTAAGCCTACAAATATACATGCTAGGAACATCAAGTTAAACTTGTCATGACCTTGTCTAGCAAGAAGGCTATTAAAGCAGGTAATAAAGATATAAAAGCTGATGCATTAAAGTGTTTTATGACTGCGATCACAAAAGCCTCATCCCTTTTCATTGTGTATTTTTTGGATAGAGTCCATGATCATTTATTTAACTGTCATTTATTAAGCACTTGCTGTATGTAAGACCTCGAACCTCATTCATTTCATTCATTCATTCATTCATTCATTCATTCATTCATTGTGGGGATACAAAAATGAAACATGACACAGTACTTCCCTTAATAATTTACTAGGGCAAGGAAGGAAGTAAGCCATTTATTGACTTTTTAAAATTAAAATTATAGCAATGAAATTAGAGAAAGTATGATTTTTCTGGAATTTCATTTGATGTTAAGATTTTGTGAGATTTCTTTTATTGGGAAAAAAGTGCCTAAAGTTGCCATTTCCAATGGTGGTAAATAAAATATTTCTGCTCTTCTTGTATTTGGGTTCAAATTCCCTTGACTGGGGGATGAGGAGAGGGAAACCCTTCAAAGAGATAATCTTAGTTTTGTTGCTCTTTTTCTGATAAACAGTCAAAAAAAAAGTCTAAGGCTTAGAAAGAATCTTGTAGGTCAACTAGTTCATTTTACAGATGAGGAAGATGAGGTACCCAAAGATGGAAATGAGTTGCACAAGGTCACACCTGTAATAAAAGGCAGGACTCACAGTAGGACTTACGCTTCCTAACTCAAAATCAAACAGCCATAGTATCATCATTATTGTCATCATCAGAGCTTGAATATAGTCAGTGCTTTAAAACATTATCTCATTTTATCCTCACAATAACCCTCAGAGGTAGGTGCTATCCCCATTTTACAAATGAAGAAACAGAGGTAGACTGAAGTTAAGTCCCTCAACCAGAGCCACTCAGGTAGAAAGTATCTGAGGCTGGATTTGATCTTAGATTGTCCTGACTTCAAGTCTAGTGTCCTATCCACTATAGTCCAGGGGTGGAGAATTTGTAGGTTGTGGGCCACATGTGGCCTTCTAGGTTCTCAGGTTCAGCCTTTTGACTGAGTCCAAATTTTACAGAACAAATCCTTTTATTAAGGGGCTTTGTTCTTTCCTGTAGAAGGTGGGATTTTGGCTGGGAAGGAAACCTGGAAAACCAGGAGGCATTGGCCCCTGGAATCAGGAAGACCTGAGTTCAAATTCAGCCTCAGACACTTCCTAGCTGTGTGATCCTGGGTAAATCATTTTACTTCTGTCTGCCTCGGTTTCTTCATCTGTAAAGTGGGAATAATCTTAGCACCTACCTCTTAGGATTGCTGTGAGGATCAAAGTAAATAATCTTTATCAATTGCTCAGCATAGTGCCTGGTACTAAGTGTTGGTGATGATGATGATGATGATGATGATGATGATGATGATGATGATGATAAGTGGGAATGTTCTAGGCATGGGAAGTAGTTGGTGAAAATTCAAAGACAGGAGATGAAGTATCTTAGGCCTATTTGGCCACTAGACTGAATTCTACCTTGGACTAGATCAAAGGCAATATAACTGTAAAAAGGAACTGAAAACAGAAAAGTTAAGTTGAATCCACAGAAATACATGTAACCTTTAATCACTGCTATAGAGATGTATCCCAGTTTTTCCACTTACTACTTAGGTGACCTTAGGCACCTTTCTGGGCCTCAGTTTCCTCAACTCTAAAATGAGATGCTTCGACTTAGATGACTACTAAAATGCCTTCCAACTCCAGCCAATGATCCTAAGGTTCAGTGATATCTAACACCCTTATTTTATATATGAGGAAAGTAAGGCCCAAAGAGCTGAAGTGACTCATGGCAAGTCATGCAGCTAATTAGTAGCAAAGCCATTATCTTACTCTGGGCCTAGAGCTCTTTTCACTACAGCAATGGCCCACTGAGGATGCTGAACTTTGATTAATTATTATTGATACAGCCCCTGATGTGTACAATGCTTCTTACATATGTTGATTGCCTCATTTAATCCTCTCAATAACCCTGGGAATTAGAAGGCCAATAACCCACAAACCTTGGCTTTTACTAATAGAGAATCCTTTTACTAAAAATAGGGACTTAGAGGATAATAGGATTGAGAGCTGAGAGGCCATCGAGTTCAACCCTTTCATTTTTACAGATGAGGAAACTGAGATCCAGAGAGGCTGTGTGATTTGTACTGGGTCACACAGGTGGTAAGAGACAAAGGCTGCGTTCGAACCCATGTCTTCCAAAGCAGACTCCTGAATGCACCCTTTCCACGGTACCATCTTGTCTCACCCTGGCTGCCTTCCTCTTCGTGGGCTAGTTCAGCACTTTTGCCCAGGGCCTAGAATTGCTGTATACAGCTCTCATAGCTGCAGCAGATGCCCAGGCGAAAGAGGCTGCAGGGCGCTGAATGCCCACGCCCCGAGAGCCAGCGGCTCCTCCTTTCCTCGGGTTCTGGGTCACCCTCTTCTTGGCCACGCCCGCCACGCCGTGGGGAGTTAGGGGAGGCGGGGCAGGGTGGCGCCGGGGCCGCAGTGATTGGCAGATGCCCGGGCAGGGGCGGGGATGTGAGGGGAGCAGAGAAGCGAGGGACAGTGGCCGGGGCTGCTCCTGGGAGCGGAGCCGGCCACGCGCAGGGCGAGGAGGGCCCCCGGGTGGACGCGCGCGTGCTGGCCTGGGGAGTCGCGAGTGGGTGAGTGATGCGGATTCCTTTCCACCCCTGCCCCTTCACTCGGACCAGAGAAGCTCCCAAGAGGTACTTTCTCTTGGGCTAGCGTGCCCTGCCCAGGGGATGGGGGCCATTTATTGATCCCGGGCGACACCACGCCTTTGCCCTTCCCTGGGCTGATGCTGCCCTGCCCGCTTCTCTACTTCACATCCCGTGGTACCCTATACTCATCTCTGCGTCCCACCGCCCCAGCAGGACTCTAGGTGCTTCTAATCCCCTCACCTTCTTGACGTCCACCCCACCCCCCACCTGCTCTACTGCCGCTTTAGCCTAGATGAATCTATTGCTGGAGCTCAGACGGTGCTTTCCTTGGGGATCGTGTGGAGGAAACATCTGCCCGGGGAGACAGGTGCCCCCCTGGTGCCGGGACTGCCCGTGTCCTAGGCTGTGCCTACTCCTAAGCTTCCCCTCCTCAGCTGGTACTGGGGAGGGAAGCCCAGGTGGCCCCAGGGCAGGGCAAAAGAAGAACCTGACTGACTGCCCACCCTCCTCCCTTCGCGCGCCCCCGGGAATTGCACGTGGATTATCATGTGGAGATTCTACACTTGGCTCACTAGTAACCTACCGGAACGTCCCACGTTGCTGCACCTTTTTGTTAGGGAAGGACCAGGTTTTTAAGAAAGGACTTTTTCAGTATCTTGAACCTGGAACTGGGTGGTTTGCTGGACTTCTGGTCAAAGCTTGAGTCTTGAACACCCTCTCATCCCATTTATAGCCAACAGCTTCTCAAGATGTTTGTTTATTTGTTTATTTCCCCTAAAGATGAACAAACCTAGGTGGTGGAGAAGTGGGGGTGGAGGGGAAACATCTCCAAGTCCTCCAAACCTTAGAGATGTAGAAGACGTCTTGTTTCATTTTTTAGTAAACTATGAACTCTGTGCCAGTCATTCAAACACACACACACAGACAGACAGACAGACAGGCACAGAAAGAGAGAGAGAGAGAGAGAGAGAGAGAGAGAGAGAGAGAGAGAGAGAGACAGAGAGAGACAGAGAGAGACAGAGAGAGACAGAGAGACAGAGAGAGACAGAGAGAGAGAGAGAGAGAAACACTTGTTTATTGTAGCTGTTGCTAATGAATACAGAACTTCCCGTGAGAAGCAAATCTCCCGACTCGCCTGGCCCCTCCCCTGCTGTCACATCCAGAATACTATTCTATGGATTAGAGAGTCCAGGCTGGAATCAATTGCTTTATCGAATACAGTAGACTGTTGGACAGAGAGAGATTCCTTGAGGGCTTCGTTGTCCTTTAGTGTCTTTTATAAAAATAACTCCATTAATGTATGCTAAACCCACTTTAATTTGTGTTTGCTCTTAATGGTAGCAATGACAGTAATATAATTTACTGGTGTCAAAGGACTAATAAATAAGCTCTTTGACCACGGGGACTACTTTGGTTTTACCTTTGTGTACTAAGTGCCTAGCACAGTGCTTACTGCATATTAGGTGAGTAATGCAGGTCTGTTGTGCTGAGTTAAATGTTATTGACTGATAAATACAGTAGGATGATTTTAAATCAAACAATGGAGAACACTAAGCTTGGATTTGGGGGTGGGAGGTGGAAATGAATGTTGATATTAGATGATTAATCCAATTTTGTTGTTTCCTTTACTCAGGAGAGCAGATGACAGTGTATGCCATTTGATTTATCTTGGATTGTTTTAGATTTGTGGACATTGCATAGCCAATAATACTATTTATCTTGAAGTATACTAGTTATTTTGAAGTATAATGTATTCTGTACACAGTGTGTGTGCGTAGGTGCCATAGAGATAAATGAAGACATCTATGACCCAGTCCTTACTCTCAACATGTTTATAATTCATTATTATAATTCTGTAATAAGGATTGCCGTCGTGGAGCAGTTAGGTCATAATAGAGAATAGTGACATTTCTTGCCTTCTTGGTAGGTAGGGAGGAGAAAGGGAGTTTGGAACTCAAAATAAAAATATATTTAAAAAAAAGAAGAAGAAGAAGAAGAAGAATGCCTAGTCCTATAGCATCATCAGGAGAATGTTGTTGCCAAAAAAAAAAAATAGATGGTTCATTGTAATAGGAAACAAGTTGGAATCATTGAAAGTGCTTGACAATTCCTCAATTGTTGACTAGCCTGATTTCCTCCTATTTGATTCTTGACTCAGCTCATTGTCTGTGAACAGCCCATGGCCAAGATAGAGTATTGAGCCTGTGGCTAGGGCCTCCCCAACTCAGTGACCCTGTATTTGCTTTTTCTCATATGTATACACATTATTTCCCCTCAAAGAATGTAAGGCAGGGGCTAGTTTGTTTTTTGTATTTGTATCCTCAATGCATCTAACACATAGTAAACAATTGTTAGTGCTTGGAGAAAGAGAGAGAGAGAGAGAATGGAAAGATGCTTCTTAAGTCTCTCTGTGTACCAAACACTGGTATGTACCACATACAAGAGTAAGTCTGTATACCAAGGTACTGGTGAAAAGATGAAATAATCCCTGCTCTCAAAGAACTCCATACTCTGTGTGAGATGATAGCACATAAAAGAAAGTTCAGCTGCAGGGCACATGGCAAGGCCAGAGGTTGTATTGTATGTGCACATTCCTGTACCTATACATACACGCTCTAATAGATTAATTCAACAGACTGGTCATCCAGCTTCATGTTATATCTGGATAGTAATCCTTAGGGGGAAAAAAATCACTTCACCTCTGTCTGTCTCAGTTTCCTAATCTGTAAAGTAAGGATAGTAATAGCACCTACCTTCTAGGACTATTGTTAGGATCAAATGAGATCATATTTGTAAATGCTTTGCAAACCTTAAAGTGCTACATAATAAATGCTCTTCTTATTAATCCAGTTTTCAATATCTTTCTGTGGTTTCACCTCTTCACTTCTTTCCACCTGTGTCCTAAAGTTCTTCCCTTTCAAAGCCTCATCCTTTGGTTTCACGCTCCATTAATCTTTCCCTCTTTTTCTTGCCCAGTGCATCATTATACTCTTGTTCTTCTTTTCTGTGTAAAAATCTGTGCAAAATTCTCCTAACCTTAAAAAGACTCCTTCCCTTAACCTTGCTGTGGTTCATCTCCTTTCACCCTCTCACTGTAGAACTTCAGGAAAGTTGGATTCAATCATTAACTTTACTTTTCTCACCTCCAACATTTTGGCTCCTGACTCCGCTGTTCTATTGCTCTCCCCTCCTGGATCACCAAACTCAGAGGTCTTTTCTCAGTGGTTTTCCTTGACAACTGAATCACCCATGAAACTGTCCACTGCCTCTTCTACTCTGTGAAATGGTTGTTTTTCCTAGCTTTTCTTAACCATCCCCTCTTTTTTCTCTTTCTGTCTCCCTCATTGCCTCCTCTTCTTCCTCCCTTCCCAGCATTCTTCCCTAAGTCCATTTCTCTTCTTTCTTTTTCCTCTCTACCACCTGTCCCCAAACTTCTGTTTTGCAAAGCTTATCTCTGCCATGTGTTGAAGTATGACCTCTCTAAATCACTCCCAAATCTTTATTTCCTTCACCAATACCTCCTAAGTTGCAGGGCCACGTCTCCAACAATGACTGGATGTCTCCATATCTCTGCCAGAACCTCAAACTCAATATATCTCAAACTGAAATCATCTTTCCCCCAAAACTTGTTCCTCTTCCTTACTTCCCCATAATCTATTAATGGTGCTAACTTCTGCCAGGCACTCACACTTAAAACCTCAGAGTCATCTAACTACCTCCCCTGTCATGCTTCCCACTCCTAGTTGATCTACCAAACAGTAGCGATTTTCCTTCAGAGCATCTCTGAACTACATTCCTAATGCCTCCACTTTTGCTAGCTCAGACCCTCATTACCTCTGTCCTAGACTTTTGCAGTATTCAGTCTTCCATACTCAAATATAATTTACCCACCCCATCCATCACACATATTGCTATGAGATTAGTTTTCCTAATACAACAAATGGATTGGGTGCTGCCTGTAATAAAAACTTGCATTTATGTGTACTATGTTGCAGTTTTAAATATGCCTTCATTCACATGCTATCATTTGGTCTAGAGAACAACTCCAAGTTAGGTCAAGGGAAGTGGTATTGCTCTTGTTTTACTGATAAGGAAACTGAGGCTCAAGTAGTAATTTCCTCAAGGTCAAACTGGTAAATTTAATATTCTAACTCAAGTTCATCTGATTTAAATTCAGGTTCTCCTACCATTTAACAAAATTCAATAAACTTTTATTAACTCCTGCTTTGATTAGAAAGAAAGCAGGAAACTGGGGGGAGGGGATTACAATGGATTTCTCTGATAAAGGACTTGTTTCTCCAGTATATAGAGAACTGAGTCAAATTTATAAGAATACAAGTCATTACCCAATTGATAAATGGTCAAAGGATATGAACGGGCAATTTGGAAAAGAAGAAATCAAAGCTATCTATAGTCATATAAAAATGCTCTAAATCGTTGTTGCAAATTAAATGCAAATTAAAACAATTTTGAGGCTAACATGACAGAAAAGGAAAAAGAACAAAATCTGGAGGGGAGGTGGAAAAATGGGGATACTAATGCTTTGCTGGTAGAGTTATGACCTAATCCAACCATTCTGGAAGGAAAATCTGAAACTATGCCCAAAAGACCCAGCAACAGCCACTATAATGCCTGTATCCCAAAGAGGCTTAAAAAAGGGAAAAGGACATATATGTAAAAAAAAATTCATAGCAGTTTTTTTTGTGATAGTAAAAAAATTGAAAATTGAAGGAATGCTCATCATTGGGGAATGGCTGAACAAGTTGTGGTATATGGTTGTGATGGAATACTATTGTGCTATAAGAAATGATAAACAGTATGGTTTCAGAAAAACCTGGGAAGACTTACATGAACTGATGCAAAAGCAGAATCAAGAGAACATTGTACATAGTAACAGTAATTCTGTTTGATGATCAATTGTGAATGATTTAGCTATTCTCAACAATACAATAATCTAAGACAATTCTAAAGGAATTATGATA